AGCCTCAACTGCTACATTGTGCGCCGTTACATAGCAACCCCCAGTGGGGTGCTCCGGATTTACCCGGGATCACTGATGGACAAAGCCTTCGACCCGACCCGCAGACAATGGTGAGGCTTAGTGAGGAAGGGGGTGGTAAAAGTGTGTGTGTGTGTGTGTGTGTGTGTGTGTGTGTGTGTGTGTCGGGTAGGCACACATTAAAGGGAAGGAATATGTGTGGATACTCAGGTGCATGTTTGTGCTAAAATATTATTGACAGTATTAACAAATCAGATTTCTGTTCCCGACTGAAGTAATTTAAAAAAGTGTTTTGTTATATTACTCCAGCAAGTTTTGTATTTTCTGTTATTTCTTGCTTTTTTGATTTTTATTAAACGATTCACACTTTTAAAAAGTTAATGGGGAGTTACAGTATTTTTCAACCTGGGCCCTATGTTTATAAATGTGTGTGTGTAATGAGTAGTCGAGACTTTTGTCAAAGACCCAGAATAACAATTTTCAGTGGACTATTCCAGCACAGATCACGTCCTCATGTTTCTGCAAGTTAAGTGTCGGAACAAAAACCTGAGGAGCATCTTAAAAAGATCTTTGTCAGGAGAAAGTTATGCGTTGATCTGAACTCGGTGAGATAACCCTCTGCCCGTGTGATGCGTCGTGCAGGTACCAGCATGCTGTGGCCAACCCTGGCCTCATCACCTTCACGGGGCCGTACCTGGACGTGGGCGGGGCAGGATACGTCGTGACAATCAGCCACACCATCCACGCGTCTAGGTAAGAAACATAACATATATTTTGTCTGCAGTAAATACCTCTGTAAATACATCAGTCATTTGTGTCTGATTCTCCAAAATGCACATATGCGAGTCACTATATTCTTAATCCTGATAAACAGATTCCTCCAGAATCTGTAGGCGAGTGATGTTGGAGCTGGAACCCTCCTGGTCTCTGTCCCAGCAGCTAATTCGATTCGGCTCTGGGATTATTATATTTTATTTAAGGAAAATCCAAGGGAGTTCTAAAAACTATTGCACAGTGTTTCGTACACAGCCTGTGGGAGTTGGAGGATTTAAAAAGCTGTTGACTTGAGATCAACATGCAGTTCACTGAGCTTCAGACTCGCCACAGTGGTCAACATCACTGTTAGCATCAGCTCGATAAGATCTGTTTACCATGGTCCATGCAAATGTTCCGTCTACACACAAACATTCAGTATCAGCGTGTGATAAACCAGGATCAGGCTCAGCTGAGCATATAATCACGCAGTCTGTAAACACGTCTATAAAAACGTCTATACACCGTGAGCAGGGCTGTGTGTGCTTTCTATTTATGGCTCAGGACCAACAATGTAACTGACAGTTAGTTTTGTCAGTGAGCGGCTTACAACACAATCACAGACACAGAATTTCTCATAATCCACGTGTTCTTTTTTCTGTGTCGTCTGTTCTGTCCTCTCTGCTCTCCAGCTCTCAGACGGCCCCTGGTTACGCGATAGCCGTGATGGGTATAGACTTCACCCTGCGCTACTTCTACAAAGTCTTGCTCGACCTGCTGCCCATCTGCAACCAGGACAAAGGCAACAAGATCAGGTGAGTGTAGGAATCGATGTGGTGACTGACATTGCCTCTTGCTTCTTTTTAGTTTTCTCTTTCTTCCCTTTACATCGTTTCACTGAGCAACTTGCAGAGAGATCAAGAAGAAAAAAGGAGGGAGAAGAGATAAGCTGATTATCACAGCATTCCTGCTGCAGATGTGGCGTTGTTGCCGCCTCAGTCCGACATACTTCCTCCAGCCTTAATGTCCTTTTTGTTTTTTATCCTCACCCTTTCTTTTCCACCCCCTTCTTCTTCCACTGTTTGTCTCCCCCTCTCTCCATCGCTCCACTTCCTTCGTGCTCTCCCTGTTGGTGTTCAGGGAGCATATGAAACAGGATTAGCTCGAAAGGGGCAGAGAGGAGACATATTTGGCAGAAAGTCTAAGGAACAAAGGGAAGCAGAATGCAGCTGTATTATTCAGATGAATGAAGCTGAAGTTAGCATCGGGGGAAAAGAAGGATCCAAACATATACTCTTTGAATTCACTTTTGTGTTATAGCTCAAGAATTAAGAGTCACAGTCTGCTCTCTAATATTTATGTTTTCACATCTTAGGTGCTTCATAATGGAGGACAGAGGGTACCTGGTTGCACACCCCACTCTCATTGACCCCAAAGGTCATGCCCCTGCAGAGCAACAGCACATCACGCACAAGGTAAAGCACCGAGAAACACACATCGATAACAGAAACAAGAGGACAGTTACAGCTTTGTAGCCTGATTTAAATCCTGCCCCCATATGAAACCATTTTAAAAGCACTAGATCTGTACCGAATTGACCACAGTCCCCGAAAAATGTGCCTGATTTTCTTTCACCAAGATCTGTGAATGTAAAAATGTAAAAAAAAAAACCCTGCTATATGTCACAATGTTGAAGAAAGTCATAAAACCATCTCTGGATTAGGCCCCTGTGTCTGGATCCCTGTCAAAGTTTGATGGGTTCATTCTTGGTCCACGTCCCATCCTTCCTCCAAGTTTCATGGAAATCTGTTGGGTAGTTTTTGCGTAATCTTTCGAACTGACCTGCAACAGTAACATAAAAACTCCACGTCCTTCAACAATAATTAAATGTGTGGTGGTGAAAGTAGATCTAATGATTAATCTGGGGAAAGTGCACAACGATGTAATTATAGTTTACAATTCAAAGACAATAATTAACATTCTCATTCATAAACAAACCATTAATATGATTTGGAATTCAGTCTGATTCTCGCCTGGTTTCAATATTCCTCAGTTTGTTATCGTGTTTTTTTTAATTGCAGGAGCCGCTGGTTGCTAACGACATCCTCAACCATCCCAATTTCGTGAAGAAGAATCTGTGCAACAGCTTCAGCGACCGCACCGTGCAGCGCTTCTACAAGTTCAACACCAGCATCGTGGTGAGTCACAGATGTTTCAGTGTCAGATTCAGACGGATGTACTCGTCAGTATTGGACAGAGGTACTGTCCTCGAGGCCTCTGAGGAGTGCACCACATTTATATTTGATAGTACAACACTGCTACCTAGTGGTGGTGGTTCTTGTTGCAACCATGAATTGCTCCTTTCTACCATATATATTAAAACTGCCAAGTACATCCTGAGTCTCATTAAAACTGCAGCTTTAAAGACGTTATTATTTTTTCCAACATGTCACTAATACTTTTATATTTTTTTTTTTACCATCGGTCGTTTCAAGTACTTTGATCTTCCACATCCCCTTTGAGATGGTATCCAATCTTCTTTTTCTTTTCATCAGGGGGACCTCACCAACCTGGTCCATGGTAGCCATTGTTCTAAGTACCGTCTGACCCGGATCCCCGGCACCAACGCCTTCGCCGGCATCGTCAACGAGACATGTGACTCCCTGGCGTTCTGCGCCTGCAGCACCGTGGACCGACTCTGCCTCAACTGCCACAGGTCTTTGCTTCACCCACACACTCACAGAGAAACTGAGTGTGATATAACAGCCAACAGTGGTGGCAGAGTTTCTCACTGACCGTGATGACATTGCTCGTTTCAGAATGGAGCAGAATGAGTGCGAGTGTCCATGTGAGTGCCCTCTAGAGGTCAACGAGTGCACAGGCAACCTCACCAGTGCTGAGAACAGGTTAGTGGAAGTTTAGTGTTTTTAATTGTGGACACTTTTGTGCTTCAAACACTTTGTGAATGTTCCTGGGTGTTTCCTCACTCTGACTTTCACTGTCCTTTTTTTGTTTTGCGTGTCTGTCTCTTCCTCCTCCTCTGTTTTTCCGCTCTGTCCATCACTCTCTTTCTCTCACACCTCCCTCCCTCTCTCTCTCTCTCTCTCTGTGTCTCTCTCTTGTTTTATCCACCTCCTCTCATCAACCATCGGCAGCCTTTGACAGCATGTCAATGCATCAAATGCCAATTCCTGTTTTATTTCAGGGAGACATGCAATTATCATCTTTCACTGTCAGATTTCTCTCTGTTGTTGTGTCGTTGATGTTTGTCCTTTTTGGAGCTCATTTGCATACATTGACGTGCTTTGTGTGTTTAAGCTTTGATTTTCTCTTTTTTCATCTCCATGTCAGTTTTACTGTGTTTGCCTTTGTTGAACGTAATCGTATTTCATGCTCGGATTCTGATGGATTCTGTCAGCTGAATGTGTTTTTGACTGAGAATATGCACCGCCTCTTCTTCATTTCTGCATTTTCACCCTGTGCGTTTTGACGTTTGTGTTGCGCAGGAACCCCAGCTGTGAGGTGCACCAGGAGCCGGTCAGTCTGAATGTGATTGATCCCACTCTGCATGACACCCTGCCCCAGTGCATCAACACCCGCTGCAGCCAGAGATACACCAGCAGGTACACACACACTGAACTACAGACCATGCATCAAGTATATTTAAACACATCCACAAACGAGATTATCACTTGTAGAATGGTGCCACCTAGTGGAAATAAATGGGATTTGTAGAGTTGTGTTGAAGTTTGTTGTTGTGCATGATACACACCAGTGTTGGTCGAGAGAAACAAAAGCACTTTTGATGACATTGGAAGAGGTTTGTGTGTATATGTGTTACTGATACAGAGTTCCTGTATAAATCCATCAAAATGAATACATACATTTGACTGGAGCTCAGACAGCACATACCTCGGCCAAGGTCCAAATGTCCCTCGATGATACCAACTTTAAATTCACCAGATCTGGGTTTTTATTTGAATCTGCATGAAATTGTACACAATCATAGATATCAGTCCCCCGAGCATGCCCAAATATTTCCATCAGGTTTCATGAATTATTCTCTGAGGAATCAACCAAAATGTTGAAAAGCATTCTTGTATCTGCCGCCTGCTCTGGCTCCGCACCTCAAATTTAATGAGAATGCAGATTAAAACATAACTTTCTTGACTGCGGTAAAAAGCTGCAGAAAAAAGCACTTATAATGCTTCAAAAGTTTAAGAACTGTTGTTTACCACAAGGCCAAACTTTTAAAAAAACTCTTGGAGAATCTTTATTTTAATCTCTGTTTTCTACTCATTGCTTCAGTGACTGTTTCGGCGTGTTGGACTGTGAGTGGTGCATGGTGGACAGTGATGGTAAGACTCACCTGGACAAACCCTACTGCGCCCTCCAGAAAGAGTGTTTCGGAGGCATCGTCGGCGCCAAGAGTCCCTATGCGGACGGCCTGGGGCTCCTGGGTAAGTTTCTCACCCTGAAGAACTCACTAACACACAGTGTTGATTCAAGTGGAGATTGTCCATGTGTATAATGCTTTAACTAGATTCCAGTGTTGTGAAATGTGCTGTAGTCAACCATGTCAACAGAAGTACACGAAGATCAAATTAATTCCATTGTCATCCTGGTCTCAGCTGAATTGTAGATTCAGGCTGAAACTTCTCTGTTGCTTGGTTGTTTCTCTCTGGTTCTGTTATCAGTTTTTTTTTTAACTGTTAGCTTGTTTAATAATTATTCTGCAGCATGTCACACTGATGGGAGAAGTGAAGTGAAATAGAAATGTACTGGCAGCGCGAGTCGGGAGCTGAGCCCGAGCTGTTTGATTCTGGCTCGTTGTGCTGTCACTTCTTTATCCTTACTCTGCTCATCCCTCTCTCTTCGTATCTCCCTCTCTCTTTTATCTGCAGATGAAGAGGTGGCATCTCTGAACATGATCAAGAGCGCCCCCGTGGGTCCGGTTGCTGGGGGCATTATGGGATGTATCATGGTGTTGGTGCTGGCTGTGTATGCTTACAGACACCAGATCCACAGGCGCTCACACCAGCACATGTCTCCACTGGCAGCACAGGGTAAGTGTGACTCACAGGCTGCTTTCAGACGTGCACTGAACTCCGGATAATCTCCTGAAGTTTACCCAGAGGGGATGTAAAGTGAGAACACAAATGTCTGAGTCCAGAGTTTCTCTTGCCAGTCCCCCGGTAAAAGAAACACTGAGAGAGTGGGTGTGCTGATGATGTTTCTAATAGTCTGAGAGGTTTTAGTAAAAGTAGGTCCGACACCAGTGTTGAGGTGTTGTGAACAAAACATGTGATATCCACAGCAGATTTCATACTTTATGTCCTGCGTGCTGTCCCAAGTCAAATGTATATAAAATCTAAATCTGTGAAATTGAAATGGAAGTTAAATTTCACATTTGTGCAGCATGGAGAGATGAGAAACATGTTACTGTAACATTTTTCTGCTTGGCCTCGTGCCGCAAAACCTGCAAATGGAAGGAAGTTTGTAAGTTTCTTCGCATTTTCACAGAAAATAAAATTTTAAAGCATCGTTATTTACAAGCAGTCGACTGACACTAATACCACGCAGCAGCAGCTGTTGTACGCCAGTAACCCTTCTCTCTGGTTTGTCTTTGTCCACAGGTTATTATCTGGGTTAAAGCAGCTAAATGTTCATGCTTGCCTTGATTTTACTCCCATTTGTATTTGTGCTTTGTTTGGATATAAAAAGCAAAGTCCACACACCCCTCCTACTTGTCATTCCTGCAGTGATTTACATTTTGTAGAACAGTAGCATCCATCTAATCTCAGCCTTCTGTTTCTCTCCTCCTGCTCTCTTCACCTCCACATTGCTCCAGAAATGTCAGTGAGAATGTCGAACCTGGATAATGAACGAGATGAGAGGGACGAAGACAGCCACGAGGACAGAGGCATCAGTAAGTTCTGTCTGATATCTGATGAGGTCTGAAAGCTTTGGTTGAACTGTTTTCAAATAGGTCGTCACTTCTACCACAGTAAACACGTGTGAGCACCACTTACCTGAGGCCTCTGTGTTGATCTGTGTGTTCTCCCTTCACTTTCAGTCAGTAACACGAGATTCATAGCTGCGGTGATTGAGAGACACACGCACACTCCCGAGCGGAGACGACGGTACTGGGGACGATCCGGGACAGAGAGCGACCATGGTAAGACATTTTACATGTTTGCTAGTCAACTTAAAGTCACTATGGTTGATGTGAAAGTACTTTCAATGGGGCCAATTTCAAAGGAGACATATTCTGCTCATGTTCAGATTAATAATTTCCATTTGTGTTATTACTAGAAAATGTTTACACGCTCTAATGTTCAGAAAACACATCACTTACCTCAAACTGTCCATTGCTGCAGCTCCTCTTTTCAGCCCCTGTCTTAAACATGATTCGGTAACTGCACTCACGTCATGATGTGTCGTGATGTTACACGACAGATAGTTACGACTAAAACAATCAGGTTTTTGGAAATTCAATCACTGCTCTGTAAATTTGGAATAGTGTGAAAACCATAAGCCGGCTCAACAGTATCTCTTCACACAGCAACCAAAGTCCAGGATTAGAATGTGGACTCTTCAGAGTTTGTCCAGGGAGCGAAGTGAGAGTGAAGTGTGACGAGCTCAGATAATCTGGGGGATCTTGGAGTAGAGCTGCTGCTCTTTAGTGTGGAAAGGAGTCTGTGTAAGTTTCAGTTTATAATCAGGAAGCTTTATGAACACGACGTCCAGGAGAGATCAAGGCTAAACCCACAACTTGCTGGAGTGTGTGTAACCCCGTCTCCCCTGGCCCGAGAAAACCCCTGGATCCCCAACAAAGAGCAGAGACAGAACATGTCTGGGTTTCCTTTATTTGCCTTAAGCCACAATAATGCAAGCCCAGAGAAAGTAAGGATGTTTTTATAACTTACAGTCAGTGTGGTGAACGCACACTAATATCTCTGTTATGATTGTATCACTGGTTATGCATTTTGGAAAATAAGCATCTGATCCTGATTTCAGATACTTAAAAAAGATCCTATTCAGGTTCTAAGAAATATGTCTTGTTGAGTAACTGTGACGTGTTAACACCTTTTCCGGGTTTCTGAATATTCTTTGTCAGCTCAGATCGTTGCGTCTGAGATGGTGAGTAATCAAGACACAGATGATCAGAAACTTGGACACTGTAATTCTTAGGTTTCTCATATTCCATGTTAACGTCAGTGATGATCCAAACCAGAATATAGGTCAAAACAAGGCTATTTAGAATCATGTAAATATGCTCATACTAGAGCATAAAACCTGAATTAAATGAAATGTATCTCCCCTTTTAAAAATCCCATTTGAGGCTTAGGTTCCAGCTCTATAAAATGAACATTATTCCTTCCTGAACGTTGCGGCACAGTGTTACATCCACAGTTCCCTCTCAGCTCGCTGGCAGTGGTTCAGCTCTTGGTTCGCTCTTTCCATGACATCACAGCTCACTGCTTTTCTTTTCTCTTATCTCCGGCTCTCTGCGAGACAGAGGCTCATGTTCGCTGTAACCATTTGTAGATCTTGTGTAAGTCTCACACTCGATGAGTGTGGATGGATGGTTTCACCCGCGTGAGCTCTCACCACCTACATATGGCATCTCTCCACTTCCTGGCACGAGTGTCTCTGTTACTTGTTGCATAACCGAGAATGAGCGAGAGGGTGACTATGAAGAGAGGAGTGTGGGCTAAAGTGGCTTCAACCAGTGAGGATACCGAAATGTAAGATAGAGCCGGAACGGAGAAAACTAGTTTTAACCAACTAGTAAGAATTTCCTACTCACTTACCGTACTTCATTAGGATTATTACGTCTCCTATACAACACATTTTTTACAATTAACTGTGACTTAATTAATCCAATAATCCTCAATATCTAACAAATAGTTTCTTTACACAATGTTTGTTTTTGAGTGAATGTTTTGTGGAAAGAAAATCAGTAGAATTAAAGTAAAGTATCTTTCTCATGTCATAGTAAAGTTAAGACAGACAGGAAAGACTAGTGTATTATAATAAATTAGTGGGGAGAGGAAAGATAAAAACTGAAAATGGAGGGCGAGTGCAGAGATGTAAAAATGATGAAAGAGGGGAAATTAGAGTGAAATGGAACGGCAAGAGGACGGGGACAGAGAGTTTGCAATAATGGAAAGAGGGGGTGGTATTAATTTGATGCAGCGATGTTACTGCTTAGTCAAAGTTGCCCTTCTGCTACCTTCCACACAGAATATATGCAGCACATCTGAAAGGTCTCATCACAATGAGACAGTTTTAGTTTTGTCTCCAGTAGTTTTCTCCGTCCACATCTCTGGACTTTAAGACGGATTTGGTTTCCTGGTGCAGCTTAAACTTGTCCACAGGACACTGTTAGCTGTGAACCTGGAACCGCGGCTCTGGCTTTGGGGAAAAGAAGGATAAACTGTGCTGAGGTTGGCATCGTCCAAGTCTGGAACTTCTTTGAAGTCTCCGTCCCTCTCTTTCCTTAATGCCCTACTCTCCCTCTGTCCCTCAGTATCCCCTCAATCTTTTTTGTCTGTCCCTTGTCTTTTTGGAGAATCAGGGAGGAACATTTACAAGAAAATATTTCAATTTAACTACTCAGGTACAAGGCATTAGTACCTTAGTGAGACGTGAAGGACGTTTCCCTATTTCACATGATGCTGCGTATGTTATCCTCTATTATATGACATTATATCACAGGATATACAACTTTAAAATATGAATACCAATGTTGATTGATTGATCTCACCACCACTTTGATCAATGAAGTTTGACCTGGTATGAATTTTGGATACTACACTCAGTAGAGTGCAGTATAATAAAATATAGGTCTCCTTATGTTCAATCTGTTAATACACGTTGACCCAGTAATTCCCTGTGACAGCAGTACTGCCCTTCCATTGCTCCAGTTACCAATGTAGGCTACCCTAACAGCCATGTTGGCTTCTGACGCCGTCTCCTCAGGCTGCACGTATGTGTAGGAGACTGATCATAAATATGTATGTTCCTTTTGTTTTTTTTCTACATTGTGGTGTGAAAGCTGAAAACATATGGGGAAGATAATCCCCAGCAGGGATGTGTAGTTGTCACTGCATCATGAAAGAGCCTGTACTGCTTTCAGAAACGTTCTGTGTTAGCATGTTTTCACAAGCGTGTTCCTGTGTTGAATGTCTACGACCCGAGGGCGTCATTTGCTGAGTAGATTCTTTTATGGTGTCCTTTCATTTCCTTGCTCTGAAGGTTTTGGCAAACTGGTGCACGTGGAACTGATGAGATCTTTGATTTTCTGTGCAGTGACTGAATGAGGCTTTTTCGTTCGTGTTGCATTCTTTATCTTTTACTATTAAAAATGATGTTATGATGTAAAACGATGTAATCAGTCCAGTAATGCCGACCTCTGCATGTCTTCTGTGTCCAGGTTACAGCACCATGAGTCCGCAGGAGGACAGCGAGAATCCACCCGGAAACAACGACCCGCTCTCGGCCGGCGTGGACGTGGGTAACCATGATGACGACATGGACCTGGACACGCCGCCCCAAACGGCAGCGTTGCTCAGCCACAAGTTCCACCCCTACCGGCACACGCACACACACCACCACCCGCTGCACACGCACCACCTGCAGGCCGCGGTCACCGTGCACAGTGTGGACGCAGAGTGCTGATCCTCGGCGTGGCATTGCCCCGCCTGCCAGGGATGGATTTTATTTTTCTTATTAATGACTATTTTTAAAAAGAAACACTTGTGCTCGATTACACGGTTGGGTACTGTCAGGATGGACGGAGGGAGAGAGATGCCACAGCTGGACTCGAACCCATCGTGCCACTGAGCTGCGGAGACTTCCTCCTCAGCGCCATATGGGTATTAGCCTCATGGTGTCATTGTGCCAACATCTCATCCCTTTCTCCACTGATCCCAAACTAAAATCTGGGAGGTGCACACGGTTTCTCAGACACTAACCAGACCTGGGCCAGTAGAAAACACAAAATGGGAGTTTTTCTTTGTTTTCTAAAGAAATGTGGGATTCAGGACTCTGCAATTGTGCAAAGGCTGCCTGAGCTGATTCACTCCAACGAGGAGAGGACACAAGTTGAACCTTAAATCCTCGAGAAAGGACAAACTTCTTCGTTTTCACCCAGAAGGCCGCAGCAAACACTATTGGATCAATGGATAATCAAATGAAACCCAGAGCCTGATGTTGCCCCAGGGCTCCATCCCATAATTACGGATTAAACCACAGCTTTACTCTCTGTGGTTCTGAAGATGTAGACACTCCCAAGTATTTGCCTTTATCCAAAGGAGAAGCTGCTGGTCTTTTATTAAACGGTTTGGAAAGCTATCTGAACATTTTCATGAATGTCTGTGAACGTAACGTAGGCAAAACATTCAGTGATTCACACAAATACAGAAGAAAAATCACTTAAAAGAGGAAAATGTTATTTTTCTACTATTTATTAAAAGAGGTAGATTTTCAGGACAGATGAGCTAGAAGCTGCCGCTAACAACAAACGCGTCACTAGTCAGGAAGAGTGACATGTTCTTCTTATTGCCAGTGCATCATTTAAAGCTCATTATTTTCAATTATTTTTAATATTTCTCATATAACAGACCATGTGACAACTGGATTTTTAAGTTTTTGTTTTATTTTTCATAAGAGTGAGTGATTTTGGTTCACAAGCAGCAGCTTTTCTACATTTTCCTTCCTCTTTCTTTCCTCCTTCGTTCCAGAAGTATCCTCTCCACTAAATGATCCTGTCCAGTGAAAAGTTTCTTCACATTTCTGGATGGACTTAAGATCTGAGTCAAAATCAATTCTGCTAAAAACAAAATCGGCTTCGGAGCATTAAGGGCACGTTGGCCGCGAGACGCAGAACATTTTTCTCTCCGTGGTCACAGTTTTGAATCAGTGACATGTTTCTGCGTTCTCGTAAGGTAAGATCCGCTGTGCCGGACGCATCCTCGTTCTGGAGACGTCATCAGGAGGCAGAACTTCTGTGCTCGCTGGACTTCTCAAAGCCTCCTGGAGGTGTAAGCTAACAACGGCAGAACATTCCAGGCTTTAGTTACTGCTGGGGATTTAGTGTGAGGATAATTGGGGACGATGGCAGAGGTCCTGAGAGATGCACAGAGATCGAGTGCTGTCCCCTCGAATCACCTGGGTAGAAAAACCAGCGCAGAATGCTGTCTCTCTTTACCTTATTTGTGTGCTGGATTTTGTGTAAATCAAGTAAAATTTCTATGGATGAGATGGAGTCTCCTTCTTGTTAAAGAGAAGAACGACGGAGAGATGCTGCTGTTGTTGTTCAGAGGTTACACCCATCTATCGAATCCTCTGTGGTTAACCACTCAAAATGTCTTTTCTACACCTCTCTGGTTTTACTGGTGTGTGTTTGTATGTGTGTGTGCGTGCCTGTATGTGTGTGTGCGTGCCTGTGGAAAGAATGTCTACCCGTCTGGGACGTTTTCATGCATAATTGTATTTTTCTCATGATAGTAATAGAGAATTATAGGTGAAATTATTATAATTGAGAAAATCCACTTACTTTTATTCTGATGAAGAGTCACCTGACCCGATGTGTGCTTCATGGCCGGCGTGGCATCTGTTTACTTGTGCCAAAATGTCTATTGTTCTTCAGAGGTTCATTATGAAGTGTAAATACAGAATCACAAATAGCTATTAATGTCTTGTACACTCCATTTTTTATGTTGGTGAGACATAATGTAAGCTTCAAAAGATGCTCAGATATTCGGGTTGATATTTTTTTGAATTGTCTGTTCATGGTGTCTCACTATATTTTTGATGCCTTGGATGTTTTTATTTTATTTTTAGATTTATTTTTTCTTTAGGTCCATATTGGATGGAAGTCAGTACTTGGAAAAATTAATACACACTTTTATGTTTGAGAGACGTCTAGTTTAAAAAAAAGATTTATTGCGTGTCATGAAAATGTTAAAGAAAGCTAATTTAGAGTCATGAAATAACGGTACATCTTTTCGCAGAGTAAAGGCCGGAACAGACCGCGTGGTGGATTCAGGGTCTGTGTTTCTGTTGCTACTTCAAACTATTTTACCGATGTTATAGCTCGAGCATCAGTTCGGTTGAATATTTACACTCAGCTACGGCTCCTTAAACGTGCAGCTAAGAAAAACTGCTTTACAATTTGACACCACTAATAGAGCAGAGATTAAAACACACCTTATGGTATTGCCTTCAAAATCTTTGATGTACTACTACTATATGTAGTGGGTCAAATATTCCACTAATAATTACAGAAAGGTTTGTCAGAGTTGTAGTCAAAGATGTTCTGCGGTATCTCGGTTCAGTTTGACGTTGACATCTCGTCGCACAGCGAAGTATACATCAGATGCAGTCTTGTGCGGATCCTTTGATGTGTGTGTATGTTGGGGCAATTTTAATTTCTCCCAAATGGTTTGATTTTTTTTTTTTTCTGGAAAGCTTTTAAACAGTATTTACCAGCCATTTTAAACAAGTATGTGTGTGTTTCTATACAAGAACACTCTGAATTGCATAAATTACTGTACTGAAGGAACATATGTACACCCCCCCCCCCCACACCCCCATGTATCATATAAAGTTATCAAATTGAGATTTATTGCAATGTGAATGTGATAAAGTCCATTTTACACTTAAATTGTGTTTTTCGTTATTGCCTAATTTTGTTTTTCACATTTTTACGCTTTGAATACTGTAGAAGTTCCTGAGATATCCTGTTGACCTTGTGAACGCAGCATCTCAGGAGCTCCTCCACGGAATTCTTCCAAATTTGGTTCAAACATTCACTTGAACTCCCACGATTATCTGATTAGATCTTGGAGGTCAAAGGTCAAGTTCACAGTAACCTCACAAAACATTTTTCGCCTCATGAATACGTGATGAGTGACTTGGCTTGCTCAAACACAGGAGAACAAGCCAAGTCCTCGCAGAAAGCTGCAGATCAGGTAACAAAGAAAGTTTGTGCCAGTTTATCTCACTTCACGGAAAACAAGTAGTTGTGCCTTTGTATTGTCATTGTCATGGCACAGGTCACCCACAACCCGCACACAGTAAACCAGGGAGATCATTTCCCAGGAATTCTTTATGTGACCCTGTATTCACACTCTCTCACATCTGTGTTGTATTGTCCGATGTCTCTGCAGCTTGTTTTACTTCCTCTGGTTCACATGGGGAACATTTCTGACACTTACTCTGCAAATTGCTTTGTTTGGTCGGGAGGATTTTTAATGATATGTGGATGTCTCTGCTGCTGCTGCTGCTACGGTTAAACTGGAATATCTGTCTGACCCAGTAGCTGGAGAGATAATCCAAAAGTCTGCATCCTGTTGAAAGTATAAATGAATGATTGTGTTCTACAAACAGCTCCGCAGAGATAACTTACAGGAATTGCTACGTAACCTATTTTCATTATTTACAGAAAATGAAAATGCAATTTGGAGAACACCTTATAATTCATCTAACGGGTTAAATCACAGTATTAAGTGTTTTCTTCTGCCACGCTAAGAATACAAAATGTGTGTGTTGTGTTTTATGTTTAAAGGATTATGTAGTGAAGAAAAACATCTGAGCTTTTAAAACTTGAGAAATCCCAAATCCCTCAAGTCCGTTTTTTAACTCTTGAGCCTTACTTGAAGAAAAGGGCCCTTTCAGAATAAAATTGTGTTTCAGCTTCAATGTGCACTTGGCTCCATAGGGATATTGTATTTTTTTTTTTTTTCAACATGTTGGTCAAAGGTCATGCAGTTTGTGGCTGAAGGAAGAACAGTGGAAGAGTATATTCTGCCTTGAAGACCTATCAGTTATTTATGAGGCTTTTCTGCCCATGCAGTGTTTCCTGCCAGGGGATGAGGGAAACAACCACAGGATGGAGAAGCAACATGGATCTGATTCAATACAGCAAGAGGCCACTTTGGTTTAGGAGGAAAAGATCAGTGTTGTGTTTGTGTGTTTGTTTCCCTTTGTTGCATGTTAGCCCAACCATGTGATGAGCTTTTTAACTAATGATTGTGTTAAACGTGCATTACACTGGTGTTTATATCTGCAGCTTCTGATGATCTTCATTATGGAATAATATGTTGGTTATTTTTTTACAATGAATCAATTTCTTGTTTTAATTAAGTTCAAAATAATTTGTCTATTTATATATAAAGTATATTGATGCTAACCTAAATATATGCAGTTAACTATTGTGAGAAAATATTAAGAAGCTGGAACCACCACGTTTTTGGTAGTTTTGGTAAAAACATTTTTTTAAAAAGACCAAAATGATTGATCAGGAACTATTTTGATAATTATTTTGAAAAGAAAAATACAACCGTCGCTTCTGTCTTCAGCTTTTGTTGGAACTGGGTTTTGCTCGTTGCACAGCTCTGCAATAGCTTGTTTCCTGAGGGCATAAGAAGACGTCTGCATCAATAATTAAAAACACCAGTTTATATATTCTTGACTTGGTTTTGAAGACGTCAGAGTAGAGAGAGATGGACTGACAATCATCATTGGTTCTTTTTTTTTTTTTTACAGTAACATGGATCAACATGTTGTCCAAATCATCTTAGGTAAAATATTAATAATTTCATGTCAGAGGGGAAGTTATTTGAACACTGACACGTCTGGGCTGTGGTTGAACAGTACAGACAGTGTATAAAACTGCATTTGCTCTGCTTTCCCTTCATCACATGTAAAATCTCACATTTGATTTAAAATCCACACTCGTGAGTGTATGTGCTCTTCTGCCTCTGTGCCTCTTAGTGAAGGTCACAGAGTGCAGCCAAGTAATGTCTCCTTGAGGTGCAGTGGAAAAAGCAAGGGGCACGCTGGGCTCTCAGTTTACTGAAGATCAACAGGGAGGTATTTCAGCACCGTGGAGAGAAGAAGGAGCCCCCCACCCCCCCATGTCTGTCTGTCCCACCTGTCCACTAAAGGACATTCATACCTCTGTCTTTATCCATGTACCACCATCGTATCTCCCTTTTCTCTCAGGCTGTCTGCTGCTCTCTCTCTGTCTCTGAAATTGAGCACTGAACTCGGTGCACCCCCCGGGTCACTTCAGTCGGCCTCTGCTCTGCCAACTAGTACGGCAGACGTGCACCAGCAGCACATTTCTGTGAAGTTCAGGGAGTCCCAGTTTCCCAAACACATCTTAGTCATCTTAAGTTGTGCATACAAGCAATTTCACAGAGCCTTGAAATCATTTTGACAGACAACGCTTGCTTTCTTTTATTGTGTATATTTTGCTAAAAAACAATGTGTGGGGGAAATTTGTGCAACAACTGACAACATAACTTGAAATTTACTGGAAAATACGCCAAGAAGGAATTTGACAGTATTATTAGTTCAGCATGAAATAAAGAAAATCTAAACTGGGGCCTTGGGGAGGATAAAGACATGAAAATGTGCACACGTATGATTTGCTTGGGTTGAAATCAGAGCGTGTAGATGCAACCTTCTCATTAATGCTGGACAGTGTCCCTGATGCACCGGTGGAGACGTAATGCTTATGACCACTGTAATTAGGGCATGAATTGGGCAGGGAAATATACTTGTGCACTTTGTCCCCCACATGGTTTTAGGTCAGCTGTTTTTAGTAGGTTACACATCCCTCCATGTCTTTAAGAGGAAAGAAGTGACGGCATGCACCAAGCTCATAAATGGAGCTTATATACGGTGCATTCTTACATCTGCTGCAGGGCGACATGTGCATATGCGCTCATCCCTCCAATGCACAATGAACCTCGTTACCACTTAGGGTCCACCCCATCCCCCTTTCCCTCCCGCTCCCATCCCTCCCATCCTCTTTCCTCCCGTCCTCCCACCCACTGAGATCATCCCAGGTGCCCGCTTTGCCTGTTCAGCCACTCTGCCCACCTACGCCCTCACACTTTCAGTCCCAAGCGAGCAGCGGCGAACACATCCCTGCTTTCTTCCTCTCCTTTCTACTTCCACCCACTCCAAAAAGGCTGTGAATCACTGGCTGACACACTGAAGCACCAGCAGGGCTCCAGTGTTTTAAATGGAGAGGGACTATACAGCATCTCTTTTCTCCCTTGCTTTGTGGAGCATAGCCCATTATTGTTGGGTTTGATTTGCACACAGGTAAAAAAAGAAAGTGTGCAAGCGTGCAGGGTAGATACTGACGTGTGTGTGTGTGTGTGTGTGTGTGTGTTGCAATGTCCTTGAGTGTATTACAGTGCTGGCATGCGTGTGTGCCAGGGGGACTGAGAGAACAAATTAATTGTTCTCTCATGGAAACGTTGTTTAGCACTTAGTGGAGGGATTCACACGTCTTCAAAATCATCCTGCACCAGTGACAGGCGAGTCCTGGCTGTCTCTTCAGAGCAGCACTGCTCAGTGATTCATGCTCCCCGATCTGTCCGTCGGCTCTGACTATTGTACGAGCTGGAGATAGATCAAACCCTGACTTCTCCTCCTTGTGATAAATGTCTCTGTTGCAGTTGATGTGCAGTGTTTGATGGACATGGCTGCACATAAGATTGGTGATGGTCATGAGCCCCTCTTGCTTTTTTGGTTTCTTTTCCTGGAGGACAAGTTTTTAAACCAACCTGCTGTTCATCAGGAGTCCGAGATTCGAACCCTGAATATCAAGAATCAGGATAAGCCCTCAACATGTTCATTAGGGCTGCAGCTAACTTTTATCCCGGATTAACCGAGTAATAGGTTTTGTTCTATAAAAGGAAATTGTTCCCATTTGAATTTCCCAGAGCATGAAATGACATTTTCTGATGTGGTGTTTTGTCCAACTACTAGTAAAAAAAAAAACAGATGCATCAGTGTACATGGCGGTTGTGTCTCTGTATTTAGAGCAGGGCGGCGGTTCGATCCCAGTCTCCCCTATTCAGCTTGCCAAAGTGTTCTTGGGCAAAGTATTGAACCCAAAATTGCCCCTAATGGCTGTGCCAGCAGTGCCACACAAAGATGCACTGTATGAGTGTGTGTGTGTGTGTGTGAATCGCAAAACTTTCCCTTTCAGTTCTTATCAAGACAAAAAAATGTCTTGAATGACTGAAATAATTTGCCACTTTTTGAAATGGTTTACTTTTCAGTTTTCTAACTTTTCTCTGGTCCACTTTAACGAGTAGTTTCATCCGTTATCGCTGCCTCCTGAAATCTTTTACCTCGTAAAACTGGTTACATGCTCGTGGAGGAGCATTGGCAGGACAACGTGTTTGACCTCATGAACTTTACAGAAAAAAAAATACTGCTCATCCTCTATTACCTCTGTTTGAAATGACACAAACTGATCTTCTCTTTGGCCTTTGCCTTCTGGAATTGGACTGAGCTTGAGCTCCATGTATTTATTCACAAGGACGATCCGCATACACTCGGTTGTATTTTGGTTACGCTGCTTCAGCCACTTCACTTGGCAATGTGAGATCATTTTCACCCACTGACAACTGTGATTGTCTGGACTCCAATCTGCCAAGAAACGCTTTACGCAGATGGCAAGAGAGAGAAAGAGCGACAGAGAGAGAGAAAGAGAGAGAAAGAGAGAACCTGGAGGTTGGTTGATGCTGGTTGATTTCACCATCTCTTACAGGTCCTGGCATGATCGTGTTCTAAATATG